AGGCTTCCGCCATTTTAGAGACAAATCAATGGGATGTCACAGAAGTTGTCAAGATCTGTGTTCTCACCACTTTATATTCCATGGCAGTAATCCACATTCAGCGTGAGGATAGCGAAATGACATGAACATCAAAGCAGAGATTGACAGCTTTTTCCTACTTGAGGTTTTACCCGACTTAAGGAAAAACGGTTTAAAGTTGAGTATGTGGCAAAATCTTTTTTAAGTTAAGAATTGCTCACGCAGATAATATTTTTTTTTATAGAGAATTTAATATCTAATTACTATTTCATTAGATTTAATGGCCTTTTTTATGATTATATTTGCAAGTTTGAGTTGAGCTCGCAATAACCATGAAAGGCAGTGAAAAGCGCAGGTCAGTACATGACTGAACTTAAAATGGGCGAAAGGTATCTGTGCCATAATAAGAAGATGATTGTTTTCAGGAGATGTTTTCCTTGTTTTAGCATCTCCTTTCGCTTGTTATCACTGTCACTGTCAATTCATTAGCGTTGATCAATAGGCGAGGCTACGATTGAGGGGTTTTTCAGCATCGCCCTGCTCCAGTCCCGCCCCTCTGGTAACTTCTGTCTCAAATCTAATAATCTGAATCATGTTCTGCATGCTCTGTTGTAAATGCATTTTCCCTTGACTCGTTCACATCTGAACCCTCGACCAATTGGAATAATATAATGTGTCGCGTGTGTCGCCGCGCACGGTCATGAATATCCGCAATTGAAATCAACGTAACAAAATGATATATAATGTAGTTATTGCTTATGTTTGCAGTCTTCCATTGGGTTACATTTCTCTATTAAGTTGCTCCATCTTATATGAAACTATCACAGTGAACATTGTAGTAACGCCAATGCACACAACCAGAAGAGGTGACTGAATCTTATTTCAAATGTGTCAGTGCTCGAGTTACTAAACATTTATACGTCAATGTAATGTTTTGTCAGCACACATTTGAAGGTCATCAGTTAAATACACACATTTTTATTACTTCATGCAATAATGTGAGCCCGTGGGGTCGCTACCATGACCTCACCCGAGAATACCAGGATGTAAAAACTATATTAATCTAATAATTGAAACAGGTTTAGCCCATGCAGTGCCAAAATTCATCCAGGTCTGAACTCTAGCCCTAATATAACAATACAACCCGTTTGATAGAAGCAGCATCAGTTTATAAGGCCACCTGATCTGCAGTACACTGCAGTGAACTCCTAATCTGTTCTGCTTTGTTAACACACGGGCCGATCTCACAACAACTCAGTGTTATGCATTACTGGATCACATAATACCATACCAACAGGCTTAATTATGGACACAACTGTAAACAATATGTCGGTGTGCAATCAGTGGCATATGAGTACCCATCAAAGCAGAACACAACATTGTCTAGTGTGCTGTGCACTCTGGATGGTGGTTAAATGTGTTACTTAGGCGGTTGCACAAAATGTTCAGTTGAATGAGTGCAGGTGAGAATTCCCCTTCGCCCTTTATAAGAACATCAGATTTATTGAAAGGTTACTTAAGCAGTTAGGCCTGATGGGTGTAGTATGTAGTATATGGCTAATACCACAAGTATAGGTTATCCCGGCACTCGGCATTGTGTGGTGAGAGCCTATCGTTACTGTGGTATATTAACCATATATCACACAGACGTGTGCCCATCAAACCTGATCAAATCTGGGCGTTATCACTTAGAATGCCTTTAAGTCCCCAATTTCATTCATCCCGTGACACTTTTCTACAATCTAAGCAGAAATTGACTTGTGCTAAAGATGACAATTTGGCCAGACATGAGAAGAAAATGAGTGTCAAAATGATCAGAAACCCTGTTTTCATACGTGTTTCCTAAAGGTTGTTGCTGGTGTGTGTATTTATTTTCCATTTAAGTCCTCATGAACATGCCCACAGGTATTTTAGGATATGTGGTGATATGTAGTAATGCAGTAATAGGGCTATTCTATTGTGGGAATGTAACATGATGAAGATACATGCAATATACATATAAAAGCATTTCACCAATGTGTTATACAACATGCCAATACCATTACTCATATTTAGTTACATTTAATTGCATTTGTTCATCAATTATATACACTCCCATTCAAAAGTTTTGAGTCCCCTGCAAAACGGCCTTGTTTTTTTCTGAAAGAAACGCTCATTCAAATTTTAATCAAAATAACGTCAAATTGATCACAATTACAATGAACAATGTAATTGTGTAGACATTATTAATTGTCTAACAGCTGATTTTAACAACAGCTACCGTTACTCCTATGTTCCAATGACATGTTGTGTTTTCTAATGCAAGATTATCATTTTAAAAGACTAATTGTTCATTTTGGAAACCCAGATAATTACACAGATAAATACTATAGTGCTGATAAAACAGACAATAAATTCGGCCTTGTTTAGTCTACAGACCTAACTAAGGCCTACAAACCTGACTATGTTATACCAGTTTTGTCAGAAGGATTGGGCCAAATCTAACCCAAATGATAGTGGAATCTTGTAAAAGGCTACCCGAAATGTTGGACCCAAGTAATAGAATTCAATGGCGATGCTACCAAATGCTAATTGAGTGTGTGTAAACATCTGAGGTGCTATTTCATTATCTGAATCAATGCATTATTAAAATCACAGTATAGTTTCATCACCATCAGTTTTCTCAAAAGTGTGCTTTCATGACCTTTAGTTAATAGCCTAAATGACCACACCACATTTGGAAAAGAAGGTGATTTAAAGAATCCAAATCTGCCAAATCTGTTTACACACAGAAGGAATTTGTTCAGACCCCCTTATCATCTTCCCCACCGTCCAGTATATTCATGTAGTTCACCTTCTTTCGTTTCTCCCCGAGGTCCACACTGCTTAAGTACCTAACAGTTGAATCCTTGGGGTACATTTCACAGATTTTACAAATCATGAAGTAGAAGAGTTTTATCATAGCTCTTTAACAAACTCATCAACGGCCCTCTTCTACACCACAAATCTCGTCTCCTTTTCATAAAGCATTGATAGAAATGCACCTCTAGGTAATTTACTGAGCAGTTTGCGGCTTTGATCTATATAACATCCACATTAAAGCCTTATGCAGTCACTATGCAGGTTAATCACACTTACGGGCACATTGAACTTTTACATATGTTTAAGCAGATATGATTTGGAATTGCTTAATGTACAGTCATCTGGTGAGCGAAACTGTGTTTCTCCTGTGCTCTTCACTTCATCTGGCGATGGTTTATTAGTTTTACATTTTTTCTTCTTTGCACATGCAGTGTTTTGTGTTCTCAGACTATGTGTCGCTAACAAATTAACCTATCAGGATATTCATGGAAACTGGGTTAGATACAACATAGTATTACAAGTCTTTGAGTGGAAGGAGTGACCGGTGTCTCCAAGTGACACACACACATACACACACACACACACACACACACACACACACACACACACACACACACACACACACACACACACAAAAATTGTTGTACTCCTTGACAAGTCGAAAAATAATAAAAGCAGACTCAATGGTATCTGTATTTTGGCACACATCCATGCAACCTCTCAGTCACACAATTACGTCCGTTGTTTTAGAAATCACAATCTGGGTCAGCAGGGCATGATTTCAAACCCTGATGCAAAAATAGCATGCACAGGTTGTCTATTATTTCAGATGTTTGTTTATTTAAGATCGGAGGACAGGCTTTGGGAGGTTTTTGGAAGATTGACAGGGACACTGCTGTTCTTGCTAAATTAATTTCACCGTTGGGGTATCAGGACAGAGAAGTGCTTCATGTTGAGTGAGAGTTGCCTTCCCACTGGGATGAGATGACCAGCAGACGGGACCTGGCAGAACCAAGTAGTCAGGTTGGGATGTTCGGATTTGATTGTAGCTTGAAGCCACGGTGACAGTTCCGCATTATAAAATACAATCTTACAGTGTTGGGTTTCAACAACGTAGTTCAGAGAAAAACAGTGATTTTCTAATCAGAACAACCCGTACCCGTTAATATGTATTGTGTCAGCGTTAACCTGCCTCGTTAACCGTGACACTGTATTAACTATATGAAGAGCGGGCAGCTATTCTTTCTTGCTTATAACATATGACGTCAACATCGTTCTGACCATTACGCCCAATCCAGAAAACAATTTGAGTTGTCGACATTATCAGTAGAGGAATATTTTTCTATCTGTTTGATTACTTACCTGTCCCTTATAAGACATCATGGTCAAAGCCTGGTGAATAGTCATCTCACTCCGATCCAATGAGAACCAAGAGTCACAGGATGTCATCCTGATAGCTCAGTGGGAGGTCGGTCTGAATGCATCAGACAGTAAATGTGTTAGCAGGACGCACATATTCCGATTGACAGCGGTGATTGCATTTTCCTACTCGCCTCGCAGGAAACAAACCCAGGAACATGACGTCGCTCGCGACGCGCTTTACAAACTGAGCTAATGCTATTCGAAGTAAAGAATGCCTTTCACTAATGCACGGACGGTGAACAGCCTAAACCTATACGTCATGAATTGCGTGTTACTGAACTATATGTTCCATTTAAAAGCACTTACCAGTGTCACAAACAAGACACAGAAAACAGTGTGGGCGTCTCCAGCCTTCGTTTGGTCACCGCAGTGTGTATGTGATGTGGATGTGTATGTGATGTGTATGTGATGTGGATGTGATGTGTATGTGATGTGGATGTGTATGTGTATGTGATGTGTATGTGATGTGTATGTGATGTGTATGTGATGTGTATGTTATGTGGATGTGATGTGATGTGTATGTGATGTGATGTGTATGTGATGTGTATGTGATGTGGATGTGATGTGGATGTGATGTGGATGTGTATGTGATGTGGATGTGATGTGGATGTGTATGTGATGTGATGTGGATGTGATGTGGCTGTGATGTCTTCTGTTTGCTTTTGTATTTAGCCTTTATTTAACCAGGTAGGCCGATTGAGAACAGTAACAGCGACCTGGGGAGAAGCTGGGGATTGAACCCTCGACATCATACATACAAAGCATGCACTCTACCTGCTACATCAACTCCTCCATGCACTCTATACCACTGAGCTACATCAAGTACGCTCACTCCTTCTTTAGGGATAAGACATGCAGGTGTCAGAATCAAGTGCTTTGGTAGTTTGATCATGGCTTAAACGTAAGGAGCGGTGGCGGTTACTCTCGCCGCTCTGTAGGCAAGCACCAAGGATAATGGAGTGTGTAGAGGAGCATGGTGACATAGGAGAACTTGAAACATCTCCTAACCGGTTTTGTTACTTATAATTATCCTGTCCTGACACTTGTTGCTATTACGGGTCAGTGGCAAACTGCAAGATGACTTAATGTTAAGTCCCGGTGTATGTTTTATGACTGAGAAGGAGGAAAGTTTGACTGTGGCTGCAAAGGATTCTTACACAAACCAATCGTGTGTGCTTCTTAGACCAGTAAGACATTGTGTTGTGGATGAGAGTCATTCTTCTGTTACGAATGAGTGACGTGAAGAACTAGATGGACCTCACCTTTTATTATTCCGTAACCTAATAAATGCTAAATGCTTTACCTTCATAATTAAAAGGTTATACCGGACATTTTTCATCATTATCAAACATATTTTTCTAAAGTAAGATAAATTGGAGACAAAATTGGACAACTATTAGAAATTATAGCACATTATGAGAATAAAAGCAAACCAGGAATAACCTTCATCTTCATAGCACTTTGTGAGAGCCTTTGATATGGTCCATATAGTACCAATTTCTAAGAACCTTGATATTTGTAAATTTTTGAGAATCTCTCATATGATGGATAAAAGTGACGTACAACATGCATTTATCAAAAATAATCCATTATGGTCACTTCTCAGAACTCTATATAATTGCTAGTGATAAAAAGAATAGCTAACAATAACTTTAAGGGGCATCGGGATCCCCATTAACCACTTAACCGCCAATGTTGTGAATACTTGAAATGGGGCGCAAAGAAAAATAACAATGTCACAATTCCGGTGACGCCTAAGAGAAAGAACGGAGGTGGGTCCAGGTTCGTTTAGCGCAAATACTGTCGTTCATTTGGCTAATATTTTAAATAACAAATGTACCCACTTGTACATAAGAAAATAATAAAATGTGCGTCGTAGCGCATACAAAGAACTTCCCCAAAGGGAGTCAAGAATATATATAACACAACCACTCACAATACGGACATGAACGGTGTAGCAAGAAAGCCAGTGAAGACGTCCGCCGAAGACTGCGCGCAGGTGACGGTAGGCTGGCTTCGGAGGGAGCTCTGACAAACAAAATATATGATAAACGTACACCTTAGATAAACCGGGTAAAAAGCGAACCCAAAGAAATGACACACAAAATATTGTCTTTTCACAGTTCATATGGTGCTAATACAGGTGCTGTTTTGTCTCTTATTAAATCAGTGTTAATTGCTAGCTTGAGTAACGAAGCTATGTCACTGTGAGTCCCATGTCTCCCTGCCTCTATTTTCTGTGGGCCTCCAGCCTCCATCCTCCAGCTTCCGATTGACTTTAAATCATTTTCGAATATATTTCCATTTGCAGGGCAACATCCTATATGTCTGTCGCTGTTGTCACAAATGTTTTAGTTAAGTACACTTGTTTATGAATCATTAACCAAGTGCAGAGTATTCAAACATTGTTCCTCGGGAAATGAGGAACAAAAGGTCAGACTAAGTGGAGTCTAGTGGACAAGAGCATCGAACCAATAAATGAAAGGTCACCGGTTGTAATCCCTGAGCGGACCCAGGTGAAAACTCTGTCGGTCTGTTCCTAAGCAATGCAGAAAAACTCAAAACTGTGCTATGTTTCTTATTGAAAATAAGAATATGTTCCTATTGCCTCTATACGTTTGGTGGCAGCATCATATTATGGGAAATACTTAGATCTATAGAAAAAGTCTAATGTAATTCCTTTTTTAGATTACCTGTCAAGAGAGCGAAGCATGAAGACGGTGCTGGTGTGTGAGTGTGTGTTTGTAGACATACACTACCAACTGTAAATCAGAATAATTTCAAAACATTCACTGTGCATGAATGAATAATGCATCCATACCTGTATATATATATATATATATTTATATATATGCGCTTTTGCATAGCCTGAAATGAATGCCATGGATATAGCCATTAACCTGCTATTAACCTGCTATTAACCTGCCATTAACCTGCTATTAACCTGCTATTAACCTGCCATTAACCTGCCATTAACCTGCCATTAACCTGCTATTAACCTGCTATTAACCTGCCATTAACCTGCTATTAACCTGCTATTAACCTGCCATTAACCTGCCATTAACCTGCTATTAACCTGCTATTAACCTGCCATTAACCTGCCATTAACCTGCCATTAACCTGCCATTAACCTGCTATTAACCTGCCATTAACCTGCTATTAACCTGCCATTAACCTGCTATTAACCTGCCATTAACCTGCCATTAACCTGCCATTAACCTGCCATTAACCTGCTATTAACCTGCCATTAACCTGCTATTAACCTGCCATTAACCTGCCATTAACCTGCCATTAACCTGCCATTAACCTGCTATTAACCTGCTATTAACCTGCCATTAACCTGCTATTAACCTGCCATTAACCTGCTATTAACCTGCCATTAACCTGCTATTAACCTGCCATTAACCTGCTATTAACCTGCCATTAACCTGCCATTAACCTGCCATTAACCTGCTATTAACCTGCCATTAACCTGCCATTAACCTGCTATTAACCTGCCATTACCCTGCCATTAACCTGCCATTAACCTGCCATTAACCTGCTATTAACCTGCCATTACCCTGCTATTAACCTGCTATTAACCTGCCATTAACCTGCTATTAACCTGCCATTAACCTGCTATTAACCTGCCATTAACCTGCCATTAACCTGCCATTAACCTGCTATTAACCTGGCATTAACCTGCCATTAACCTGCTATTGGGTCCTGGCATTTTGATCCTTACTCCCTATAAATTATCCATCCTTTATCCCAATCACATGTTACCAACAAAATGAGCCCCACATCATAGACAATGTTGATTTACATCTGGAAGGATGTCCAACCAGACAGCAAGGGGAACGTTTGACGGAGAATCAGATCAGCAATGTCCATGCTGGTTTATGATGTGCAACTTCCTGTCTCTGTGCACAATGTCCATGCGGTTTGTGGTTTTCAACTTCCTGTTTCTGTGCCCAATATCCATGCGGTTTGTGGTGTGCAACTTCCTGTCTCAGCTGCAAAGCCTGAAGAGCAAATAAGCAACAGCATACACAACTTTTGGGGACGTTTTTTAGGGCTCACATTTTAGAAATGCTGTCTGGGAGTATGGCAGACAAGAGGTGGGGTCTTGTGATTGATATACAGAGAGACATGACGGAATGAGACTTGGCCTGACAAGTGACAGGTGAACAAATTCCCGTATTGATGCCTGATACACACCCTGCTCTTAGGAAGCTCTCCGAAAGGCTTTCCTAAAGCAATTTCCACATGATCCTGGCAGACAGGTTCCTGACACGCTGGCATGTCAGGTTTTATCACATTACGTAGCATATTAAATTGAACTCTCCAGCCGGTGCCTAGATTATTTATTTTATTTGGGACTGTCTGTGGATGATTCCGACTCGAGCTTTATTCATGTCATTAGTCTCCTTGAAGCATCACCAGTCACCCAGAAACGTAGATAAAGAAGATGTGTTGGGGTGTTACTATGATTGCAAATTAAGTCACGGGAGACCTGTTAACCAGTTATGTTCAGACTAGACTATAATCAGCGGCCGAAACCTTAGCGAGGTCCCAATGGCTCAACTCTAGTTTGAGTTAAGACATGAGAACTTTTGGTTAAGAAAGCCCCACGAAAGGAAATAACCCAGTGGTTTAGAAGCTTTTCTGAACCATTATTACGATTTTTCATGTCTTGACACATTTCCGTCTGAATTAAGGTCTGTATGCATGCCTGCCTTTGTCCTGCTATATGGGCAGATACACAATGGGTATATAACACTCCATCAATTTTTACTCTTTTAATTGCATGAGTAACTGGTTCATAATATTAATAAGGTAACTAGGGAGGGGGGGGGGCTGTATCTGGAATAGACACTGTCTAAGAATAGGTCTTAGTTGTGGTATATTTAACAGTATTTCACAGCCCTTTTGTGAACCCTTATTTCACTGCGTTCTTTTTTTTACTAATGTCAAAATAAAATCCTCCCCACTGAATAAGCTGAAATTCCAAACAGCTCGACCCAAAACGGCTGTCAGTCAGTATTATTTCGACCTCATAATCTGCCCGTTTATGTGACAGTTGTTCAGGATATGTATGTTTTGTGAGGATGACTCTCCGCTCTTCATTATCTGTCAAATACCAGAGAGTTCAGCTCTGCATGTCCTCATGACCTCGCTGACATTTTGTTGCTACAGATATATAAATGATATAATAGCTACTATGTGAAATAAAACCCTCCGTTGTAGTCTAGCACCCACATGGCTCCCGCCAACATGCCGAATCATCGCACAATCTCAAAAAACAAGGATTTATTAACGAGAACTCTTGTGTTTTTACTAAACATGTTTGCATTCGATTGAATGACCCGCCAGAACAGGACAGTGAGTGAATGGTAACTAATACTCAGTAACGTTTGAGCTTGGGGTCATTATCTGTGTTGCCTGCCAACCACAACAGGTTGAGAGAAAGAGGCCATATGCAAGTAAAAGTAAAATAATCTGGGTTAAATGTTTTCCTAATATATTATGGCAAAAGGGCAAGAATCATAAGAAATAATTCTGCTGTTTTTTTCAGATGTCCAATGGGTTTTTAGTTCTGCAATAGTTGGCTGATCACCAGATGGGTTGTTCCGCAATAATTCCACACGTAATCTCCCTTCCAGTTGTTTCGTGTTTTCTCTCACAGAGGAATATGGGGCTGACATATGATGGCATTTAATTAATTCAAACATGGCCCTTTATCGCGGAACGTTAAATTAGGTGGAAACAAACGTTACACTGAATGTTTATCTCCTGTGTCACTACACAAAT